TCGGACAGATTCTGGCGAGCCATTTCGGTCGCCGGAGGTGGTCACCCCTACTCTATGAAGTCTGGAACCTCTTTGGTCCACGCTGTCATGGAAAAGTATTTGTTCAGGGAAAAGATGCTCGCTTCTTGCTTTATGGCACCGGACCCCTTGACCGAAGCGAATAACCTCCACGATCCCAACTTGGAGCACGTGTTGCAGGACAAGGAGAGGTTGTATCAGTACTTGTTCGGAGACTCCGTAAGAGGAAGCCATGCATATCAGTCCACTGCGGAACCTTCAGGTGAGAATGAGGCTGAGCGGAAGAAGAGGGAGAAGGTAAGGAGAGAAAACAAAATGCCATGGATGGATGAGTACTGGGGAGTCCTTCAGCCAGAACCAATATACTCGAGGACTCAAAGGTGGTACGTCATTGATGACTTCAAGGAGGGTGAGGAGATTTGCTGCGATTACTGTTTGGTCTGCAGTCCCGCAAACTCCGATCAGAAAGATGATTGCTATGCAGAATGCATCAACGGAGCAGCAAATAGGTGCCGTGGGATGTCCGCAGAAGACTACGTCCAGAAGCGATTCCATGCATGTGCTCGATTGCTTTACAACTTCGGCATGGGACAAACGGTATCTTCTCCCACTGTCATGATCTCCGAGATGAACCCGCACGTAGACTTGATGAAGTTCTTACACGAAGCGATGATCATCTTTAACGGGAACCCCGGTTTCCAGAAGGAGCTCTCGTTCTTCGGAGGAATCAGATTGTCATCAACAATGACGGAGAACTTCTTCAAAACGAGGAGAGGACCCAGCATTCATGTGGAAAAGCAGATAGTCGGCAGCGCCAAGTACTACCAGGGATCCTATGACCTTGGAAACGTGTGCTACACCAAATACCTCAAGACCATACTGGAGCCCGATGTATTCCGCACGATGTTCGGAGATGATCCCACGGAGGAACGGGTAGGTGATATGGTGGAGGCGCTGCTGGGCATGTTGGAAGTTGCTCAACTCTTCAAACACCTGTTCTTGGGATGGGGTGACATTGAGGCTTTGAGGACGGGATTAGAAGAATCCATCAAGCGCGTCACTGCATCGCTGTATGACAGGACAACGTATGAGAACCGAAAGCGATCGATGATCAGAACATTGGACCCGCACTCTGAAGAGGCGGCAAACGTGGCACTGATTCTCGTTCGCATGAGGACCATGCCGCCTCCTGAATTCGACATCGACCACTTCTTCGAAATCGGGAAAGAGCCAGAACATGGAGCAGAGGCTACTGGCCAGCCCGAGGCCGAAGGTGTCGATATGGAGACTGAATGTGAGCAGGAGAAGGAGGAGCAAGACGTTGACATGTCCGACCCGAAGACATCAATATTGCAAGCCATCGACGAGTTCGAGAAGAAGATCGGGCAAGCAGAATTCTGCATCCACTGCATGAAGTCGGGACACACAACTCTCAATTGCGAGAAGATCCCTTCGTCTTCACCCACGGTCACCTCAGTGTTGAGTGATTGGAAGAAGAGAGTGAAGGGAGAGGTTGCACCCGACGATGTACCATCCGGACATCCAACCGATGAGCCTAAGAAGAAGAAGCAGAGAGCATCGCCTACTCCAGATAGGAAGGTCGACAGCGAGTTCAGGCGAAAAGAGATGTTGAAAGCAAGAGTCGTGACAATGTTTGACCATGACGGGTTCACCTTGATTGAAAGTGCTGATGGAGTCGAAGGAGGGACACATTCCTACAATGGGCGGAAGCTTGCGGAAGTAGGCCCTAGGGATATGAGGGTGGTGTACGAATTTGTTGAGAGGGCATTTGTGCACTCCAGCTCCCTCAAACCAAAGGCATGTCATCAATTCTATCCCCTACCGACACGGAGGGAGAAAGGATACAAGCCGATCGACCCCATGACGATGATCGGGAAAGTTGAGCTAGTACCGATCAACGGAGTCACTTTCGCTGCACAGAACTCCGACTACGGCAACCTCAAGTATCCGACTCGAGACTGTCGAGTACCTGAATACAGCCAAGCGAGTCAGGCCCTGAGTCGCCGATTGGGAGCGAAGTTGAGGCATCGAATTGGACGCCAGTTCAGGACTGGTGGAAGACTCACACCAATCAAATGCGATGAGGGCGCATGGGTGTCATGGGAAGACCTGTTAGCTGATAACGCAGTTTGGGAAGACGGTTATCACTATGGCAATATTGACATCGTGACCAAGAAGGCGCGTTTGGAGAAGTACCTCGACCAGAACTATGAGTGTTTCCGCATAACCAAGAGGATCAGATTCCAAATGTTGGCGGTCCGAGTCCACCCTGATGAACTCAATGATCCTGATGACCCGATGGAGAAGGAATGGATTGACGAGCTCAAGGGCATGGGAATCTCCAAAGGGAGACTCCACAATAGCGATGGATGGTGCTTTCCCGTGGCTGTAAGAGCAACCTCAGCACACTCGTCGGACGGTGGAGGTTATGACGTTACCATCAACATCGACCACATTGGATCAAGAATGACCAACGACATGGCCCTATCCATGGTGACTGCATTTCACGCTACCAATCTTGGAGCGCTGACTTCAATCATGCGACGGGGGCTAGTGCCAGGAGGTCTCGGTACATCGGGAAGGGATTCTATCCACTTCACATGTTTTCCGCCATGGGCCTGGGAGCAGGGCTACAAGGGAAAACCTTGGCTGGGTCGTAAGGTCGCATTGAGTGATCGCCCGGTGGTTCTCTACATTCCGGTGTCGAAGCTGCAGGAGTACGGGCTTCTCATCTCAGCGACTGGATCTCTATTGGTTGAGGACGTCGTTCCCTTCGATGAGGTTAAAGGGGCATGGTTGCAATGCGACAATGCAGAACCCGGACAGCCTGAGGAGATCGAATGGATCAGGTTACTCAATAGAGAACCCGACCCTGGAAGCTACCTTGTTCTGGAGTCCAAATACGGAAACCCGATCATGACTCCACGCTATCAAAAGCTTGAGAGCTTAGCGGTTGAGGTCCAGGATGATACCTACTCCGAGGACGACGCCAAGATCTCAAAGCTGCTGAGCATGGTCGAGGAGAGCGGTGTCTACCCAGAGTACGATAGCACCGAATGGCAGGAAATCTTTGAGGAGATCGTATACCGCCGAGCAATGAAAGACTATGACTCAAGGCCGTGTCCCAACTGTCTTGGGGAAGTCGATGTGCGATTGACGATATGTCCGCACTGCGTGGCGGTTCTGATTGCAAATGGGAAGCTCACGCATGTGGTACCCAAGGAGACAAGGGACCGCAATCAACGATCACCTCCGAGAGACGTACCAGCCAGTTCTTCCGGTGAAGCAACTTCTTCTGCAGGTGCAAACATCGATGAAGTCATCAAGAATGCACGTAAGACAGCCGAAGAGGTCATTGACGTCGAGGAATCCGAAGGAGAGGAAGATGAGGAAGTTCCTATCATTTTGAAGGAACGACCGGATGAAGCTGAAGGCGAACCCGAATATCGGGAGGTCCCTCAAGATGGATATGGGAATGAACTTCCACAGCCTTTCCCCTTCGCAATTGACGAATTGCCGCAAGAAGCTGCGATCCCCATCGACCACAACTTTGCAGTCACACAGCAATTTGATCTGAGGTTGATGAAGTTGATCAAGAGTTTGGCCAACGCAACGTTCGACATCAATTGCTTTGAGAGTCGTGAAGACGTGCTGCGAAAGTTCGACGATGGGCAGCGGCATGATACTCCATTCAATAGATGGCCATTAGTACCGAATGATCCGGATACTGGGTTTCCAAGACGCCTTCAGAGAGCCGAAGTCGTAAGCATGAGCAAATGGACCAACGACACATATGCAACAGAAGCGTGGCAGATCTATGAATTCCATGCCCACGTCATTCACCCGATGATGATCACTGCAATCCGCTGCGGGCTTAGCCACAAGTATCTCAAAGAGGTCGGCAGCACCCGGCGTAACATGAGTGATCCGAAGGCTCAAAGATCTGAGACCCAGGAAGAGATCATCGAGAAACTGGCATTCATCTCAAATTTCATCAGACGATTGATTAGGAAGACTTTCGGAGCGAGCCGATATAGTTACTACCAGAAACCAGACGATGAAGGTGCCGCTCCATACAAATTCATCGACATTAGCCCCGCCATCAAGTCGGAGCGGAAGAATGTCACAAAGGAGATCCTCGTCGCATGCCGCTACTACGGCATAGAGGTATCCGATACTCAAACACAAAAGTTGAAGTCCTTCGAGGAGCAGATCCGGAGGGGAAACCCAAGGAACGTTGAGCTCATCAAGGACTACATTGGCTTTGTCGGAGCTGACTACATGCGACAACTCACGAATGGTTGAGCATCGGGGTCATACCGACATACTACTTCCGGTACTTCAAGTACTGAGGGATCTTGGGTAATTCATGATGACCATTTTGGCATCATGGGAGTGAAATAGGATTGTGTCTCACACCGTTGGTAATCACATGATACCATAGGTAGGTGCATGTTTTCCGTTTGTAGCTCCGTTACCTGTTTGATCCAACTATCAAGCGAATGCAAGATCGTTTGCTAATTCAGATCAATAGGACATACTGGTTGACCTCCAATGCACTTTTGAGAACATGATTCGTTCTCCGGTTTTTTTACATCCACTCATCTCCCTTCCCCGTCGAAGCACGGATGTGGGGGGTGTCAATAGGGATGAGGTCTCAGTATAGTCGCTATACAGGTACATGCCATATACTTTTGGCTCAAGTGCCCAACAAGGTAAAAAGGAGCTTTAGCGCGCGAGCTTCATGTTGAACTAAGGGCTAGAACGGGGCCAGGGGCACGCTTTTCATCCGTTCGCACTTTCTTTCCTTTTCCGAATACCTTTTTTCCTCCTTCTCAGCTCAAAGCTCTCTGGGGGGTGGGCACTGCTATTGCCTAAATTTGCCCAAAAGGAACAATCAAAGCTGGTGATCGATGTCGTTTTTGGTCGATGCTGCTGTCATTTCCTTTGGACGTGGTCAGGAGATGGCCAGCGAGGGCTACTTGAATCATACTTCCTTGGATGGTCGCAGCTATGAAGACCGGGCCAGAGGGCAAGGGATCAGTGCGGACGGCGAGAACCTCGCAGAAGGTCTGAGTTCAGCTTCAGCTATCCTGCAACAGTGGAAGGACTCAGATAGACAGTGCAGAAAGATGATGAATCCCAATTTCCGTGTGGTAGCCATAGGCTATGCCTCCAAAGGGCATAGGCACGCTTGGACTCAGATGCTCAAGACAACGGATGTCGACCTTGATGTGTCTTGCTATCCCAACGCGACCACGACGTTTGTGTCCGAAAGCTCAACCACGACGGATTCCACGACCGTCAGTACGGTCACCACAACGGTGACGGGTGCTGCCACGACGGATTCCACGACCGCCAGTACGGTCACGACAATGGTGACGGGTGCTGCCACGACGGATTCCACGACAGGCAGTGGGTCTGAGGCCACGGGAAGCAGATCAACTTCGAGAATCTCAGATGAGCCAGGGACATCCTTTGCATCCTCCACGGGAGTTGAAACAACCTCCATGGGGGGACTTATCGCCACTTCCAGCACAGCAACCGGAAGTCCAAGCAGCACGAGCCAGAGTGAAACCAGCATCTCCCATGTGAATGATTCCACACAGCCAGTGGTTGAGGAAGGGCCGACCACCACGACTGCAGCTCTGGAATCGATTGAGGGCAAGCTGGTTTTGGAAGTGTCTGATCCTGAACGTTTCCTTGCTGCATCTATGCAGCTGCAAGGACAGGGTGCACACCACAAAGCATCTCATCCAACATGTCATAGGACAGGAGATCCCAGCAGGCCCAAAATCTCGACTGTACCACATGGTGCGGCGTCTAAGCTGTCACTGCCACTTGACGCTATAATTAGGCTAGGGACAAACAGAAACACCTCACACAAACCCGTTCTTTTTGCGTAGCGCCTCCATCTCCCACGCCCTAAAAGGACCCTTGAAGTCCTTCTTGTCGGAGTTGCTGGAGATCAATGCGAGTCGCGTGGCCATTTCCTCCATGTCGCCGCTGGACCCGCTCGGGGTCCAGCTCCGTGGAGGGCGGCGGCTTGGGCTCCAAGTGCGGCGATTGATGGCGGGCATGGCTGTGGACTATGTGGTGCAAGTGGAGGGACAGAAAGTGGAAGAGGTGATCACACTGCTTGAAAGCGGAAATTCCACCAGGAGATGGGGAACAACTAGGGTGACCAATCATTTGATTCATTATATATTGATTATAGGCGTAGATGTTGATCCTTTTTACACCTGTGGGAAGATGACCAGCCTAGCCTTTTCTTGTGTTTGTTTGAATGGATCCAATGGGGCGTTCATGGCAGTTGCCCACCAGGAGAAGTGTGCTGCAGGCCACTCTGCAAGACGATCTTGCTGAGATGAACATGACAGTGAAAGTCGTTGACGTTCAGGTGCTACAGACATCCTTGGAGAAGTTAGTAGACCAAGCTGCCATAAACCATTTAATGGCTTCAGTCTTGCTTCCCACTCTCATCGGTGCAGCTGGTGGAGCCGTTTGCGGTCTCTGTATTTGGGGCTCTGTGTTTTTCCTGTGTCTGAGAAGGCCCAAGGAGGGGAAGAAGAAGACGAAGGGGAAGACAAAGCTGCCCCATGATTTGCCGGTCATTCATGGCCACTTGAACGCTGGAGTTCCCCCGAAAATCCGCTCTTCCAAGACTGACCAGACCATGGACATGTCCACGAAGAGCATAACGAGCACAATTGAGCGGCAGATGTCGACTGACGCCCAGTCTCTATCGTCTCTCCATATAGAGAGAGGCTTTTAGGGTCGGGGTAGCCGAGATGTCGATGCGTCCGGAGGCTGTTTGAGCCTCCCACTTTTCAATCTCTGCATGGAACCGCACACTTGCATTGTCCCGTCACGAGCAAGCAGTTTGCAGAAGGATTCACTTGTTCAGTGCAAAGGCCAGTTCCATGTGGATTCCTTTTCTGCTACGGAAGAACGAGCATGCTCGTTGTGCATCACTCGCCCTCCCGAGACCATCGGAGCAAGTCCTTTGATCATGTTGCTCTGCTGTACAGCACACCTCAGACTGCTGGAGGACCAAGTACAGTCGGCTGCCATGGCCGAATCCGTGTGATCGCAAAACGCGCCTCCGCCCGGGCTCGGGCGGGTGAGCTGCTTCGATGTTCTCGGACTGGAAACGGAGGATGTGCACTGTTTCACGGATGCCTCCTGCCTCTTGGGATGCCGGGTGCGTGAGCACATCCAAATGACCAGGACATATTCATCTAAGGGGAGTCTACATGTGGGTTCAGACGAACTCACATCAAAGTCCGGTCAGTCCCTTCTTGGCGCGGCCCTAGGAACTGGGACAGCCGGGGCCTGGCCCCAAGTGGAGGCCAGGGAGTTTCCGCTCGGCACCGAGGTGAAGAGCTTCGTTCAGTCAAGTGAAAGAGGAGGGAAGAAGTCAAAGCCTCCGCGTCCTGAGGAGAAGCACTTTTTAATATGCCATCCTGTCATTGACATCCTCTTTCGTGAAATATGATGGTGAGGGTGAAACATGGTGAAACTGATGTAAAGATGAGATATGCAACTTGTGACGTGTTGCAGACATTTGGGCACCTGGCCCTCTAGCAGTTGATCACCTCGCGCAGGACCCTTTTTCGGCCTTGGTGCTTCAACAGAACAACCTGCCCGAACGGGGTGTTTTTTCAGAAGCACTGAGCAGTTCAGAATGAAGTTGATGGTGACGTCGGGCCCATCGCAAGCCATCCAAGCCTGGAAGAGGTGCAAACATCCAGGGTCCGGTCTCCGTTCAGGACACTCAATCAGACCTTCCAACCTCCACTTGTTGCGATTTTGTGGAATTTGGAAACAACAATCAGCTCCAATCTACCTTGAGACTCCACTTGGTTTGGAGTCATGGAGGACAACCAAGTTCAATTGTTTGTTGGCTACACACCCAAAGCTCCTTTCTACTTGGCTTCTCTCTCACACCCACCCACAGCTCCTCGCAGCGCGAGAGACGCTCGCGAGAGGCCGCATCGAGGAGTCAAGCTCAGATTGGAGGAGCCCCGTGGCACAGGTGGACCGGTGGTTTTCGACACCCCCCAAATCCACCCACTCCCCATCTTCGAAACGGTGGGCCAGGAGGCGGGCCAGGAGCCCTAGGGGGTGATACGCAATGACCCCGGGTGATACGCAATGACCCCTGGGTGAGTTGGATTCACGGACCACGCAGAACTCGATGGGACCGCACCTGTGATACCAACTCGATGGGATGTGTTTGCCCTGGGAGTCAAAGACTATAAAGAGAATGGTCTTTAGGGGACCTGAAAGGGAACTTCCTTTACTTCAGCCAGTCAAAATATAGTCTTTGGACTTCTAGGGTTTGGGTGTTGGTTTGGCAGGTTGGAGTGCCACGCGGCCATGGTCATCACGGTGACACTCGTGACGCATGAGACCGTCAAAAAAGGGTGTTTCGATGCATCTCGTTCGAACGGGCATGGTAGTTGAAAGACTGAATGGATTTGTTGTGCATGTGTTCGAAAAAGCCATGAAAACACACATGGACTTTCAGGCTATTTACACCAATGGATTTGGATGCACCGATCGTGAAGCCACCGATCGATGCAGGGTGAACGCATTCGATCGGTGCGTCTAGGGCTTTGCTTCGCCACTGGGCTGTGCTGCTCGGTTCAAGCCTCGTCTGGGGTCTGGGCCTCGAGAGCCTGGCCCTCTCAATCCATGGGGAGAACGAACGAAAGCACCTGGAACCCCGAACAAGCAGAAATGGATGGATGGAACTCCCCAGTCTCAGCCATTTCCTGAAGGATCTCAATTGCCATATTGGAACAACCATTTAATTCCGCTATCTCCTACTATCTCCTACTCTATAGAGGCTCTTTTTTTTTTTCTCACATCAAATTGACAAAGGATGACCAACACTTTCAATCTACGAGAACGCATTCGAGTGGCACAGGAAAGCACAGATCCGATTGGTGGAAAAGATACCTTGAACCTTCGATCCCTGCCTATGCCCTGCCATGTCATCATTTGACCGGCCAGTCGAGGTCGATCCTTCCGAGGCAAACGGAGTAGACCTTACCCTTGGCCAGGTTCCCAAAGTGGGATCTGGACATTTTGGATCAACCATAAGTCCTATATTAGGACCGAACCAAGTCCAATGGTTTTGGACACCCCGAATCACCTCTAAGAGGCTATTGATAGACACCCCTGGATTCGGGTCCTGGTATAAGCTGCCTAAGTTTGTGCATCGTCACCCCAGCTCCACCCAAGCACCCCCCCGAAATCTCAACAGACTTCCAACAAGCACTTCTCGCACGAGACTTCTAACGTGTCAGCTTCGGTGGGCTCTTCACCACCCCACTCGTCAGCTTCACCCAACCCCACCTACCTGCTCCACCTACCTGCCCTACTTGGCCTCACGGGCCACCGGCGCTGTCTCTGTCGCCATGGCCGTGGCTTCCTCCCGACGCTCCTCCAAGAGCCTGGCCTCCACCGCCTCCGCCGACAAGGCGCGCAGCGAGCTGCCTCCGTCGGTTCCGGCGGTTCCGGCGGCGTCTTGGGTTGGGAAGGATGAGAGGGAGGCTGAAGAGGGAGGTGACTGGAGCTTGTGGCTGAAGAGGGCTTGCTTTTGAAAGTGAAATGATGTGTACACTATTAGAGTAAGAGGGATTTTCAGGGAGCGGGGTCACTCGGAGCGACCTATTTCAGGGAGTTCCCCAACCCCCTCGCGGGCTGAAAAGAGGGCTGCTCACTGTTTGGGTGAATCGCACTCCCAATACAAGTGAGGTAAAACAGACCAGTATACCTCCCAGTAATACAAGTTAGGGTAATACACATATACTTGTTTAGGTAATACAAGTTAGTTTGAATATCACCTAATAGGGATACCTCCCAGTTCGACCCTTTGGACTTCGGAAGAAAAAGGAGGTCTCCTCTCAAATCGACACCCCAGACAAGATCCCCAAACACTCAGCCTCTTCCATCCTCCTACAAAGAGTAGACATTTGACCAGCCGTTCGAAACCACAACGCATGACTCATGACCGTCGTAGCGGCTGAAAGAGAGTTCTCAGCAACTGACCTCATCTTGCAGGATTAATCGTACAAAAACACTTCTCAATGTCGGTTTTCAGGACGTTTGGACCTGGGTCAGACTGGACCTGTAGGAGACTCGTGCGTCGTGTGGGACTCGAGCGTCCCAACATCGTTTCACTGCGTCCTCACGCCGCTTTTGCGTCGCCTCTTCGCATGCCCTGCACCCATTTGACCTCTGTTTTGATAGGAATTTTGGCTCCAAAACAGGTCAATCAGGTCCAGGTGTTCACACATCTCCGTAGCTGTCGCAGCTGAGACGTGTGAGTTCTCTCTGTTCCCTGCCGTGTTCCCTGCGATTTTCCTGGGTCTGCACGGCACTCCTCAGGGGCGCTGGTCCAAGCTGAAGACCTGCGTCTGCGCGGCGTCGGCGTCGCTGGGGCGGGAGAAATCGCGGCTCTTCCAGCTGGAGCAGAGGCCTGGAAGGGACAGGGAAGCAGCCAGAGGCGGTCATGTAGACGATGAGACCAGAATCCATCCCCCAGTTGGATTGACCAACCTTCTGAAACATATGGGTGGTTTAAACAAGAGTCTACATTAGCTTGAAGAAGCCAGACTCTGCCAAAGAACGAAAAAAGGAAGGAGAAGCTGAGAAGCCGGGCTGACCGGTGACCGGGTGGGGCCGAAGGTGGGACTCGAGCTGCCAAGTCCTGGAGGAGCGGAGGTCTTCGGTCCGGAGCGGAGGAAGCAGACTCCTTTGACCCCGTCGTGAACCGACCGGGGGCCGAAATCCCTTTGGTGCTGAACTGACGAAACGGAGCACCGAGCACGCGTGGGTGAAGGCGAGGCTCAGGCGGCCACAGAGATTCACAAGGTATTTTTGTTGCATGTAGAAAACAATCCGGATAAAAGTCAGGAGTTGGAGTCACATAGAGGGCCTGGGTGGTGTGGCTCGTCCCACTGCAGTGAGTAGATGTGAGATACGGGCATTCCATATCCTCCGTATCCTACGTTCGGGACCCGAGCGAGCTCTGGGACTCTTGGGAGTGGGACTTTTATTGACCTCTTCCTTCCTCACCGAGTGATACACACCATGAGGATTGGACAAGATCTCTTGTTGCTTCGCCCTCCCCCTTGGTTGGAGAACCGCATGGACCGTGGTCATCCGAAAAGCCCAACAGGTTCCTCGAGATTTGGTCCATCACATGGGTGGGTCAAAGCAAATCGAAGGATGAAGAGAATCAGTCTACCATGGAGGCCCATCTACCAGCCTAGAGAGGTTTTCTCACAGCCCTGTAATTCGCCTAGAGTAGCCCATTAAACATCTTTTATAATATGTTTCGGGTCTCTCTCTCTCTCTCTCAGAGTCTCGCAAGAACCACTCTTGGAGGCGGGATTTCCCGGCTTTGACGAAGTACCCTGCCAGATCCCAAGAGATCCACACGATCAGGTACGTGCAGCGAGCATGCAAAGTGGCGGAGAAGGAGGACCTCGTCCGCTGGCTGCGTCCGTTTCGGGAGGTGCTTGGTACCTTGAACCGAGACATGGAAACAGCGTCCCTACAGAATACCGCGAACAGTTTTCTGTCTCCTCGAGACTTGCCTCGACGGGGGATCCCAGGGGCAGTGTCAGTCTCCATGTTTTGCCAAGAGAGTTTCCATTGTGGCTTGTGGGGGCCCTGCCACACCCAAGCTTGGATGGCCCTCAAGCTTGGCGGTTTTTTTCAGGTACACAAAAGGACTCTTCCGATAGCACAGCTCACGGCCTTTTCGAAACTCGGCCTTCTCTCCAGCGATCAATCCCCATATACCCCCATCCTCCACACCTTTAGGCTCACATGTATTGACCCTTATAAGACAAAGGATCTCAGCAAGAACCAGGACATTTCCTTTCCCTTCTCTCCAAAAGAAGAGGTTCGCCTCAACAAGATCTCCATGCTAGGAAGCTCCTGGTTTTACAAGGATGTCCCTTGTCTAATCAAATTGGTTGTCATCCAATCACAATGTATTAAACTCCACCTCAGATTTATGAGCTTACAAAACGAATCAAAGCGAATCAAACACCGAATCATAGCTCGTCTTTGCCTCCATGCTACGACGGGCTTCGTCCCCCTGAGGTCGACGACTTGGAAGCGCAGGCGTGCGTGTGTGGTCGAAACCAAGGAAGGTCAAAGAGGAAAGACACAACCCAACGACTTGTAGCTCGGCTAGATCTAGATTGGATGGTCCAATCCTTTTTTTGGAAAACCACTCTTCTTAACCCTAGATAAGGATATGAAACATCTTATATATCCTTTTCTCTTCCACCTGAGGAGCCAGATCCTCTATCCGCTCCGATTTTCTTCGTCTTCAGGCCGATGCTTCGCAGGTGCGCCTGGCCGAGCGCCGCGACGCCTTCGTGCGGAACGAGCTGGCGGTGTCCCAGGAGCTGCAGGTCACGGACGAAGCAGAGCGGTCACCGAACGGGTCTTGAAGTTGGGTCAAAGGTTTTCTTTTTTTTTCGGGAAAATGGGTGGAAAGTGGGAGATGAGTCACCTAAGAATCCGTGAATAGGCCACCCTGAGGGTTTGGGAACCAGGTCCGGACCCCTGCACTGCTATGAAGGGAGAAGGTCCAACCCCAGAAGCTCAAAGCTGTGCCAGGCCTTCTTCCAATCGTGACTGAACTTGAGGGCTGATTTTGAGGGACCACAAAGGTGACCAAACTTCAGACTTGTTTGTGAGCGAGCCCTGTGGGGGGACTCTCGGTCACGTTGAAGAGCAGATTGGAAGACTGCTGGATTTGTTGCCTTCCAGATGGGGTTGGATACTGGAACAGAGGACCCCACCAAACGGTTTTGTCTAGTGTTGCGTCTTCCAGCATCCATACGTACAGTATGGGAGCATTTCCGTCAAAAGATCTCAAGAGCAAGAGTCCAAGGGGGCGGACACCTGAAAGATTCAGGGAAACTTCCTTCACTTCGTTCTCAAATGTACCAAACAGTGTCTCTTGGACTTCCACTTCTTCAAATGGAATTCTCAAATGTACCAAACAGTGTCTTTTGGACTTCCACTTCTTCAAATGGAATTCTCAAATGTACCAAACAGT